GATTTCCAAACCAACCTTGGTAAAGTGGCAACCGCCCCCGATGGGGTGGGTGAAAATTAATACGGATGGTAGTTGGAATCAAAGAGGTGCCAGTATTGGGGGAGTCGTGCGTAACAACTGTGGTCGCTGCCTGCTATTTTTTTCATCTCCATGTATTGCAGACTCTGCGGTGGAGTCTGAAGCTCATGCAATTTTAATGGCGGTCACTATTGTGGTTACTTTGAATTGGTCTAATATTTTGATCGAGGCCGATTCTAAGATTCTTTTCGAGATGTTAAATCATGGGAGACTTGTCACTTGGGATGTTTCTTAGTGTTTTGGGGATTTATTCATCGCGAAGGTAATAGGTCAGCTAATTGGGTGGCAAAACGCGGTGCCTCCACCTCCACGGTCTTAGTCGATACGGTGCCTCCCTCTCCTTTATAGGTTTTACTTCATGTGGATTTAATGGTTGAACCTTATATTAGGAACGCTAATAGCTGATTGGTTTGGTGTAATTTTTTGCTTATGGTTTGGTCTCCACCTGCTCCACAGAGATGCTTCAATTGGCTCGGAACTTGATGATGGATGTTGGCTTTATGGGATTGCTATCATACACTGGGATTGCTAGGGATCCTTCACTACAATTTCTGCTCAATGCGGTCCTTTCCTCAAGTTTCGTTTTCTGTCCTCTCACCGGAATTTAAAAGCCTTTATGTCGGTGCTGCTGCTACAAAGTACTGTTGGATTGGGATTTCGTGTACATGTAGTTTTTTTGGGTATACTATTTCTGTGGTATACATTTTGGACGATTACATGTATTTTTTAGATAGCTTTTTCCTTAAGGCTTGTTATTGCTTTCGAGTTGCGTTGTAATGCGGAGACTGGAACCCCTAGGGCTATATTGTATTTTTTTTCGTTTAGATGGGGATCCACTATCCCTCCCAAATTTTGTAATATCTATTTAATTAACGCGTAAGGAGCCACGAGCTGCTCTTTAAAAAAAAAAAAAAGAATATATCATCGTTAGAGATCACTTATTAGCGAATTTTTACTCCTTTCCGGGTCTTCAAAAAACTCATGTCACTTTTACTTATATATTCTACTTATTAGTAGTTTGCACTTATCCTTAATTATTACTACCAACTATATTTTATGAATTTCAAAGTTAGATTTCTACTTAAAGGCAATATTAACACGTATCCCCCTAAATTTTTTTTTTACACAATATGTGCAAATATCACAAAAAAAGATAACGGGCAAAGTAAGGTAGAATACTACTACTATACAACCAAAAAAATTATGAGTCAAACAGTAACACATAAAATATGTCACCTATATATTTATTGAGAAGTTTGATGGAGAAATTCAGTTATAGAGAGATTAAGAAGGATTTATATATGATTTTTATTGATTTAGAAAAATGTTATGATAAGGTTCCAAGAGATATCTTTTGGAGAGTTATTGAGAAGAAATGTGTTGATATGACTTATAATTATGTCATTAAAGACATGCATATTGATTTGTTACTTGTGTTCTAACAAAAGGAGGATTTACCAAATATTTTCTTATTTCAATTGGATTATATTAGAGATCGGCTTTAAGCCCATATCTTTTTGCTTTAGTTATGGATGCTCTTTCTGTACATTTACAGGAGGATGTAACTTGTATGCTTTTCGTCGATGATGTCTTTCTTATGGATAAGACTAGAGAGAATGCTCATGAAAAACTTGAATTATGGAGGTCTAAATTGCAGTCTAAATGCTTTCGTTTGAGTAGAATTAAAGTTGAATACATGGAATGTAATTTTAGTAGTGGTAGCTCTAGCGACAAAGTGGTAACTTTGGTTAATGAAATTATTAAAAGGTGTGAACTCTTTAGTTTTCTCGGGTCTATTGTTGAAAGTGATGGTGATATAGATGGGGATGTAATTAGCAGAATTCAAGTTGGTGGTTGAAGTGGAGTAATGCTTCGGGCCTATTGTGTGATAGAAAAGTGCCGCTTAGACTGAAAGAAAAAATCTATAAGATAGTGGTGAGACCTGCAATGCTCTATGGCGCTTAATGTTGGCCTTTAAAAGAGAAGCATAAAACTAAGTTAAGTGTTGCCGAGATGAGAATGATTAGGCGGATGAGTGGCTTTACACTTAGAGACAAATGCGAAATGAATATATCCGTGATAGGGTTAGTGTAGCTTTAGTGACAGACAAAATTAAAGAGTGTCGTCTTAGATGGTTTGGTCACATTAAACATCGATCTTATATTGATCTGATTAGGAGAGTAGATGTTTTAGGTTTGACTTGTATTAAGAAAGGCAGAGATAGACCTAGAAAGACTTGGGCATATTGTATAAAAAATGATCTTAATTTATTAGAATTAAATGAAAATATAACACTCATTAGGATACAATGGAGAAAAAGGAAGGTTTGTTTTTGTTGCTGAGATAGAACTTTAGGCATATGCTAGAGAGAGCATTTGTTTTATTTTGGAATTGGTACAAGTTATCCTTTTAAGATTTTATATTCTTTAATCACATAATACTTGAGATACTTCTCGATTTTAACAACCTAGTTTTAATTTTAGACGTCATAATCCCATCTATAGTTATTTTTATTCAATTTAATGAATAATATACGCTGCCAGAGTTTTTAGTTTTTTTTTGTTTTTGACGTTTCAAATATCAGATAGTGTAGATTTGAACATCTTTAGGCCAGTACTTTTTGATATTTTTGTCTAATTGCAGGTTGATTGGCTGACAGAAAAGATGAGAAGTAATAACTTCACGGTGTCTTCCATGCATGGTGACATGCCTCAGAAAGAAAGGGATGCAATTATGTTAGAGTTCAGGTCAGGTGCAACTCGTGTGTTAATTACAACCGATGTATGGGCTCGAGGCATTCAGCAGGCAAGTTTTATATAATTTAATCTTATTAAATAGTTATTTTGTCACTTTTAAATGTTTAAATGTCTTAATTTAAAGTTTTCCGTGGAGAACTTTTTAATGAGGGCAAGTCACACAATCGATATATTTATAAAATGGCTATAGCACGAATTAAATGATCAATTATCTTTGGCAAATAACCATTTAATTGTTTCGTTTGTGCTCAAGATTGGCAATAATGATTTTCCGTAGATGTGAGTTAATAATGATCAATTAATAATGTTTGATGTTTAAATGATGTCTAGAGGCAATAGCACGAGTTAAGTGATCAATTAACTTGGGCTAATAACCATTTAATTTTTTCGTTTGTGCTCAAGATTGGCAATGATGATTTTCCGTGGATGTGAGATAATAATGATCAATTAATAATATTTGATGTTTAAATGATGCCTAGAGGCAAATCTTGATTTCATTTAAAAGTAAATCACAAAAGATTAAATTATAAAATGCAATAATATGAATTTAGTGATCAATTACCTTTGGCAAATAACTTTGTTTGGAAGCTGTGAACATAAACTTCCATGGCAATTTAATGCCATCTTCAGCACTCAATTGTAGTGAATGCAGAAAATTTCATTCGGCCAATTTCTAAATATTCCGGATGTTGCTTTTTTATGATACGGATTATATATATTCAATAAACTGTTTAATTATTTTAATTTCTTGTCTTAAATCATAATAAATTCTTTATTAAATTTTAGAGATCCTTTCCTGATAATATTTCATCTCATACTTTCTGTTCAGGTGTCCCTTGTGATAAATTATGATCTTCCAAATAATCGTGAGCTGTATATACATCGCATCGGCCGTTCCGGTCGATTTGGGCGCAAGGTATCAGCTTCTTTCTCTTTTTCTTCCTTTTCTGTGCAAGTATCGAGTGTTTTGACTCTGTACTTTCAAACTTTCTGGGCTCCATTTTCATATTATAAGCTCACTATAAAGTGCTTTTTTGTCTATACGGGACATGAGATGATTTGTAAGTGTATCATAGTTTCTGAATGATGAACAATGCGCATGCAGGGTGTTGCCATTAACTTTGTGCGCAAGGATGACATCAAGATTCTGAGAGATATTGAACAGTATTACAGTACTCAAATCGATGAAATGCCTATGAATGTAGCTGACCTTATTTGAAGATTTTTAGATTATTATGAAATTTTTGAACTAGATTGTTTTGTCTGAGTGTGGAAATTACAATTGGCACATTAATCTTGCGTGTTCTGTAAAACTACTTGCTTGCTGGCTGCATAATAGATTATAATGTTCTATTTTACCAAAGCTTTTGGAAAATGTGCTTGGTATTTTTCAATCTCTCTCTGTGGCTGATTGTTTTGACTGATGGAAGTACATTACGTTTTTTTTTTTTTTTTTTTTTTTTTTTTTGGTGGTTTGCATGAATCTCTATTTTCATCTTACTGAAGGCTGATATTTGAATGAATGAAAAAATTATATGCCTATCCATCTTTTATTTATGCATGTCTTGCTCTTCATTTTTGGGTTTGTCCCCTAGTTTTAAAACCAAGGTCTCATTTGGATGGAAGGCATGAAATCAAGAAAAGTAGTACTCAGTGCAGCTGGCTGTTGCAACAAGGACAACTGATGATGATGATGATGATGATTAAGAGTAATAATAATAATAATAGTAATAGTAGTAATTATGTTTTTGTATTAATACAAGTAATAGTATTGGGATAGTTGTAATGGTAGCTGGGTTGTAAATTAGCCGAGTTCGAGCAAGCTTAGACTTTACACATATTCGACTCGTTAGAAGTTTACATATGTTCAAAATTGCTGGTGAATGTGTGTTTGTGTTCGACTCAAAATTATCTCGTTTAAACAAATTAGAAAATAGATGTAACTTGTTAGATTCGAATATACATCAATTCCATTCTTTAGGTGTAGAGTTACATGACATGAGCAATTATGATTTAAATTTAAAGACATACATATATTTAAAAGGAATGACTAGAGGCTATTATAGGAGCCTCCAACCAATCCTAATGTGTATGATATCCATTGAATATGTACTCTGAAATGTAGATTTGGCGTTGCAATAGTATGACATGGTGAATAAGAAAGAGGATTATGGTAGGCAGGAAGCTCAATTATAATAATTTTAATTGCTGTTGAATATTTTTAATTGAATGTTTTCTACATCAATTTATAACTTGACACCCAAATATTTTTTTTAAAATAAGCAAGAGATAGCATTGAGTTGGTGTGGGGATTTATTATCATGTAATTTACTTTACAGTATGAGTGGCAGAAAGATTTTGAGTTAGTACTTTCAAGATGAGTGAATAACTTCAAGATCATTCATAATGCCATTATTATTTGAAACATTGCCTTTCCTTCATGTCAAGAGTAGTGTAGAAGTTCCTCGGATAAGCTAGAATGGGAGAGTTGAGTAAAATTAAGGAGGTTAATCCACAAGAGAATCTTAGATATAATAACACAACTAGGATAAAGGGAGGTGATTGAATTAGATGTTTTAATTTAATTATCATGCCATAATAAGTAGAGAAAAAAATAATTATTATTTTCAGTTAAGTTAATTTCATGAACTAAATGAATTTGATATTCAATATCTCTCTTAATTTCCCTGCTTTTTGAAAATAAGAATAAAATAAATTTCATACAAGGAGCATATTTTATCTTTTTTTTTTTTTTTTCAAAATATCCATATTGAGGCTATCACCACATTCAATAAATATTTTAGAGTATAAACACTTGATATCAATAAGAGACTTCCATATGAAAAAAATAGGCAATTATTACAATAAGACAAAAATTAAGTAGTCTTTAATTTGGCCACCTAAAAGGCTTTCATCTAATTACTGAGTTCTATATGGATTTCCACTGATCTCTCCTTTGCTAATGTAGGGTAAAAAAATCTCTCCTTCATAGATAATAGAGAAACATAAATACTTTTTTTTTAAAATTGAGAAGTCTCTTACTCCTAACACAACTTACTAAATAGTCATTATTCACTGTAAGTTCTAAAATTGGCCAATCCTAACAAAATTTGCTATATAATTAACCTTTCTTGCAAAAGCAATTACCAATATACATGATTTCTCTTTGAGATTAGTAATAGCAAAAGTACTTACCAATATACACGACATCTCTTTGAAATTTGTAGCAAATGCTCCAAAAAACTATATATTGAAAGTAGAGGATGTAAGATTTATAGGAGGAAGATGATATTGTTGGAATTGATTCTTTTCTCTAAATTCTTTTTTAAGGGTTTCATCCTTAAGGTAGTTGATAGCCAGCATTCATATTAATGCCAAGCAATATTTATCGGGATTTGAAATTTAAATTAAAATTATTTGTTTATCGTGCTATAAGATTATGATCATATGGTATAATTAGTTCAAAAATTGATTATAAATCTATATGATTTTAAAATATGTGTTTTAAAATTAAATAAAAATAGATTATGAATCTTGATTTGTATTATTCAATATGATTAGTTTAATATTTGAATTAATCAATTAATGCAAATTGATTCTATCAATTTATTTCATATTACCACATCATACATTATGATCCTAAGATCAAAATTTTGTTAATTAATTTTCTAACCAAACTTTTAAAACTAATTTGACCTTAAATTCACATAGTTGTAACATATAATAATTTATGATCAAATGGTAAGATTGGTTGTTAACTTTCCAATCAAGCTTATTTGTTAAATAAATGAAGTTTTAATTTTAATTAGAGTGAATGAAAGTCATCTTAACATTCCTAATAAGTACAGATATAATAAATTATGAATAACAAATAAAATATTTTTTTTTGAAAAAAGCTTTTTTGTTATGATGTTGGATGTGCTAACTCATTTTTATTGAGCCACAAGATTTAATTTAGTAAATAAACACATGTTAGCGTGTCTTTAATTATAAATCATAACTTTAAGGTAAACCCAAAGTAATTTGGCTGACTCCAACGTTAGCCTCTTCTACTTTTTTGCACAATAAATTATATTTGTGATTATCAAGATCTTGATTATAATTTTAAGCTACTAGGGTTAACAATCTCTCTTTTTGGTAATAGAAATGATATTTTTATTTTATTGATAACATTTTAAAGTGAACAATTAAGGTGAACCCTAAGCAATTTGGTTGACTCCAACATTAGCCTCTTGTACTTGTTTGCACATTATATTATATTTGTGATTAATCATCTAGGCGCCAGTGCCCAATTTTTTATTTTTTTGGCTTTTATAAAATTTTTAACAATGAGCACCGCACACCAAGGCACTACGAACTTTATTAAGCCCAATTCAACATATTTAAACATCTTCCAACCTCTAATTTTCACAAACACCAATAATCACTTATATTCAATCCTAAATCCAATCCCCATACAAACAAACGATAAATCCACTCATAGCTTTTAAAACATGACTTTTAAATTCACACACAAACTACTAAGCACACGAACACTTAAAATATCAGAAAGCCTAAGAGCACACATCAAAGCTAATACTCAACGGAACCAAAAGGCTACACGCATACATCAAAAGCTAATATTTAAAAATCCACTACATATTATCATCTACCTCATTATCCACTTCACTAATATCACCAAGCGACTGATGCACATACAAGTTGTAGAAGTTATAGTTCGGAAATTTCTTGGAATCTTCCTTAATCCAACAATTCTTCTTATACATTTAGATGTGTGCATCTTGGAATACAGCAGCATGATCTGACTGTTGTATCATTTGCCAATATTGATGATTGAACTGATAGGTGATGCTACTGATCCAATTGTGAATCACTGACATCTCCTTCTTTATATTCTTGATTTCCTCTAAGATACCAGCCAAAAAATCTGCATGTTGAGGTCGTGATGATATGGAAGGGTGAGAATATTGATCCATATGAGACTTCCTCCATGTGTCGCAGAAAAGATCAATGTTGTCACACATCATGCTAGACTAGTCCATAAGCTTCTAAGGAAGAAGTACATTTTCCCAACTTTTATAAGGGCCTTGGGCTTGACTACAATTAAGAAAATAACAGGAGGGTGTCCAAGCCTAGGTCTATTTAGTGCAACTACAAGGATTGATTTATAAATAAGTGCCCCCACATCATTGGGTTTTCCATTTTGGATACAATAATTGAGGATTGCACTTTCTTTCGTTACTTTTATTATGTTCGTGATAGGAAGCAACTTGGCAGAAATGAAAAAGAGACAAGAGTTAGATGATGAATTTAACCTTGTTGTAGAGAAACTAACCCTGGAATCACTTCTCAATTTCCAACGTTCTTCGCTATTAGTTAGGAATTTAAGGATCTCATTCAGATTGTCTCTGGTCGAAGTAAAGTTAGAAAATTCACAAATTGGTATGTCAACCACCAAGAACAACTCATTGATCCTTGAAGGAGTAAAAGGTGCTAACGTACCTCAAACATAGACCAACTAATGACTTAAACCATGAAGATTTGAATAGAATTCATTCACAACGGAGATAACAGCAATGACAGTGGTGTAACAAAACACTTCCCATCGCCTTTGCGTTATAATTGCCTTTACTTGACCTCCAAGCATGATAAATAATCTCTCTTTAAAGAACTTCATTATTTCCACTGTTCTATCATGAAGTCTTTATGCATCCTTGCTTACAAACTTCTTCTAATAAAAAACTTCATGAGTTGAGCTCCCCAAAGCATTGAAATCCATGAATCTTGAAATGTGATGAAATCTCAAGATGTCCTTCTCTCCCGAAACCCTATAATTGATGAAGAACAAAATGAAATAAAAGTTTTGGGGTTTTTAAAGGAAAACCCTGTCAGAAAACTGAAAATTTGAAGCACTTGGCGATTTTGAAACTGTGGCACCTAAGCACCAGTCTCTCTTTGTGTTGGCCCCTAGGTGCCAGATCTCGGCTCCTAGGCGCTAGTGCATGTCTTAACACTAGTTCGCCTTAGGTCCAAATAGACGTCCTAACCTCCCCTAGGACTTGAATTATAACATTTTAAGTAGTAACTTAACATGTGTGACTCTCAAACACAAAGTACATTCAAACAAATACACACAACTAAATCTCAACAAACTAAACTCAATCCTCTCTAATAATTATGGGTTTCCTCCTATAAAGCGCTTGGTTTAACATCTTCGTCCCAACGTATCATCAACTTACTCGGGTTGACACAACATCAGGATTTCATTAAATATAGGTCTACTTCCATCAAAGTAAGGTTTCAGTCTATGTCCATTTACTTTGAACATTTTATCATTTTTCAGATCTTTGATATCCACAGCAC